TAAAAAAAAAAAAAAAAAACCTAAGCCAAAAATAGTTCAGCAGACTTCCTTCAAAGGAGGTGGATTTAACAGTGTCACTGGCCCAAACCCTATTAAAGTGCCCTTGAGGAATTAAAGGTGCACCCATGGGGACAGAGGCCTGGAGTGGTGAGAGGGAACCGGTGCTTAGAATACAGGCAGCAGGCAGAGGAGTGCCACCGGCCTAGGGCAGCGGATGACGTAGCCCACATGCCTGCCAAAGGGGAGCCGCAGTGGAGCCATCTGAAGTGCTTCAGGATGCCCAGCTGGGAGCAGAGGGACGAGATGGAACAGTACTGAGCTGGTGAGTCAGCGCCTGTCTTCATACTCTGCCAACAGGGGAACTGCCACCTCCCTGTGCTGCGGTGGGAGCAATGGTCGTTACCCAGATGAGGCACCTTGGCTCTGATCCCAGGAGGGTGGGTCTGAGGGCAGAAGGGAATGGAGACAGAGGATGCTCTCTGGGGAGAGGGGAGGAGGCCGCTGCGGAACGGAAGGGGCTCCAGGAAATGATGGCCAGCACTGGTACTTGGGGACCACCTGGCAAAACGACGGCTTGATGCCCAGTGTCCCGAGTGTTGCCCACCCCTGGTGGGCCCCATCTGGGTATTGGATCCTCCAATCTGCCGCTTAATGAAATGCGACTCGTGAAAAGGACAACTCCCCTCCCCTCTGTCACACAGCCTCTGACATCGTCCAAAGGCACACCCCTGCTCCTCACCAACTCTGACACTCCACAGTGCTGACTCTACCTGGAGATAGCGTCAGATCCCACAGGGTGGTCCACAAGACTGCCCCCTCTGCGGACGCCAGTCACACAGCCGTACCCATGGATGGAGGTTCCCACAGCCCCCTCCTTGTGTTTGAGCATCTGCTAGACCAGCTTTCAGAACTTGGGAAAACGGTTTACTCGCTTGTCTACTAGTTTATTATAGCATTCCCATCACGGCCAGCTGGGTGGAAGACAGAAGGCAGGGGGTAGGGTCAGGCGCTCCCTTGCCCTCTTTAGGCACCCCACCCTCCCAGCACCTCCAAAGTCCAGCAACCCAGGAGCACATCAACTCGCCCTGGCCAAGGGTTTTTATAGGGCTTAGCTTCCAGCCTCACCCAGAAGTCAGCAGGAGGGGCCTGGTGTTTCTGGTGGCCAGCCTATACTGAGACTACCCAGGGACCCTGCCTGAAGTCACCTCATTAGCGTAAACTCGGATGTGACCACAGGGGCTCCTTATAAATGGCGAAGACACCCCCATCACTCAGGAAGTACCAAGGATTTTAGCAGCTCTGTGTCTAGAATCAGGAACAAACACCAAACTCCTCTCATTGTACCGCCAACGGGCAGCCAAAATTCCTGACTTTTGCAGAATGGTTTCAGTCTTTAAAATAAAGACTAAAAACCAGCTTGGAGATGGCATAAAGCAATGCATTGATGTCAAGAATACATAAAATAAAGATTGACAGAAGAGGGAGAGGAGGACTCCATCAATAATGGAAAGGACCCATCAGATGAAGGGGGGGGGTTCTTAGAAGTTAATACCAAGATCAAGAAAGTAGAAGGGTGACACACAAAGTGGAAGAAATCTCCAAGGAAAATATGAAAAAGGCACAAGAAGCAAAATGTGAGCAGAGAA